AGTACATCATTTAGTACATCAGTAACACTTGGAGTAATCTTCCATCAACAAAACAACTTTATCAGACAAAGCACCAAGATTACTCAATGTCTGTTTGAAACTGAAAATGCTTAGAAGAAAGAGAAGAAAAGCATCTTGTCTTACCAAGACAAGTCTTGCTGAGTGTCATTGATACAATATCTTTAAAGGTTGGTCATCAAAAGCTACCCATGTATTGTGACTGATGTTACATCCTATGCTCATACTGTTAATAATCATTGTATTGTTATTTGTTATAACCTTGGTGTTGATCTATTATCTTAAAAGCCAATCGTACACATGAATGAAATATTAAATCAATGTAAATCATGTACTGAGCTATTGTAAATTACTATTTTACCATATATGTGTGTTCTTATCCGCACTGTGCACAGACAAGAGGGCTGGACGTTCATGTGATGAATTTATTAAGCAACAGCAGTAATGGCTAAATGTTCATCTGAGCCAAGAGGTGGAATATGACCAACCAATAAACTCCTGCAATGGAAGAAGGCTCAGAAGAGATGGGCAAGGGTGAGCTGCCCATGAAGCCCTGGGAGGAAGGCAGGGTGTGACTGACCACCATGGTTGCAAAGCAAGCTGGATTTATCTCAACAGAAAGGGGAGTGGAAGGTGGTCTTTCTTTTAGATACACAGCTATGTCTGTTGTGGATCAGCTAGCTATATCACAGGTGAGTGAATCGACTGGTTGTGTAAATGTTTCTCCTGAGTTAATCAGAGGGGTGTGAGTGCCTCCCTGAGTTAGCATGACTAGCATGGGGAGAGTTTATATGTGGCTCAGCCCAACACAAAGTATAAAAGCTGCACAACTAACAAAAGAACTTCAAAGAGAACAACAGGCTTGAGCTGATTTCTACCCACATATTGCTTCCCAGAGACGGGGGACAACCAGCATCGTGACAGTGAGCATATGATAGAGGCTGGCAATGGGAATCAGATCTGTATTGTGATTCAGTTGTATGTTACAATTGCTACAGTCTGCTAAGCGTAACTTACACTTGTATTGTGATGTCACTATATTGCTGTATCAGTCTGCTAAATCAGAGTCCTATGTGATGTCAAATAACTTCAAATAAGTAAATTGAATATTAAACATTACCCCCTCCATGCATGGAATATCTAAAAGAACCTGGTCAGAGAGTGCTAAACTCTGACATCTTGTTGCTTTATTCATATATTCATGAACAAAATGGAAACATGGGAAGTCAGATTGACTATCTCTGTAGAGACTTAGGTCTTCAATGTGAATGGATGGTAAAGCATGCAGGCAGCAAGGGGAAAACCACCTCAGTTAATCAAGAACATGCTCTTTAATTACAATTTTTATCCCCCTTTGAATAATAAGTGCATTTTATTGGAGTAGATTTTAAAATCTTGCTTGCCATTCTAGGTCTTCCTATTCCACTGGATTTTCAATTGAGTTGTGTGATTACGGAAGAATTAATTAAAAATTAAAGTGATCTCATTTGGAAAATATTTATTCAGAGCAAGGAGGTTTTTAATTAAACTAGTCTTCTGATGAAATAGTTTTGTAAATATAGATGAATAATCCTTTGAGTACTTTGCTTTTTAAATATTTCCTGAAGTAATATAGTAGGGTATTTAAAAACAGAAGAGAAAAACATACACCATCATCATGGGTAACTGAGATCTAGAACTGTAAATCTTTGGGTTCAGATGAAGTAACTTCACTGCTAGTTAAGTTACTAAAAAAGTTACTATTTAAAGGTAAGCCTGTGCTCCGAGGAAGGCACTTAGCCTAACATGCACTCATACTGTTCTGTTGAAATATGGTGGCCAAGAGAAGTTGGAGAGAGCAAAAAATGCTGCCACGCTATTAACATATTCTTCGTTGTTGATTAAGGGATATATACTCTTTCAGGTGCTACATTTTCATTTAAAATAGATCTTAACAGGCTGGCTACAGAAATGAGATTGTGGTTGCGTCTCTGGGGAAGAGCAGATAAGGGGGATGCATAGGGGCTGGGGGAGACGAAACGGCAACAAAGGAGAGGGGAAGTAAGCAGCAGCAAAGCTGAGTCCTTCCTGCCTCTTGTAGGAGCAAATCATCCAAGCATTTCACTAACAGGACACAGCTCTTGACAAGATGAGAGAGGAGCAAGTGGGAAAAGGTGACAAACCCTGCAATTGGGTATAGAAGACAGTACCAGCTATAAAAGCCCTGGAGGCAGTGAGTATGGTTGCTTATTTGTTCCCAGGTAGTGGCAGGTTTTACTGAAAAAAAATCACCCCGAGGCAGATCTTACTTTGAGCTTGCCTAATCTAGCTACACAGAACAACAAATCAGGAAGGGGCAGCTTTTTGTGACAGGATCTGTTTGTCAGCAGGACGGGGTATGGTGTGAGGGGGCATACAGTGTGGTGCATTGCACCACAGCATGTGGTGCTGGAAAGATACTTGGCCGGGGCAATTCCTTTTTCTGTCCTCTGTAGCAGGCTGTACTTGTTTTCTGTCTTGCTCAAACACAAATGCCAGGACTTCTCTCTCTCTTGGTGACAAACATAGGCTGTGTAAAGCATGGTTATGAGTGTGTGGATAGACACTGAGTAATTGAAGACTACTGAATTAACTCTCAAGTCTAGTACTGTACAGCCAAAGCCCACTCAAGACTGCAGTTATACAAGCCCAGATGAAGACATTTGAGGCATCTCTGCCTATTTTAACTTTTAGCTGGTAAGGAGAATCTTACTGTCAGGCAAGGATGTATCATTCCTGTGTATTGCAAGGTTTGAAGTTGCGCAGCATTTAACATCAAGCTGAAAAATAATCAGCGTTACAAAACTGAACCAAGAAGGTAATTTTTCAGAGCTGTTTATTCATACTTAATGCAGAAACTCTTTGTCCTGCGTTGTCACATGAACCGTGATCCAAGTTAAGCTTATAATCGCATTCTTCTCATTATATGCTTCTCAGCACCAGCCTTCTCACAGGGAAAAGCTGAGTCTGCTATACTAGGAATACACTAGCTAAGCTGTTTGCTGTTATTCCTATCATGTATACTTCTATGAAGTCCTATACAGATGTTCATTTTAAGTAACAGCAGTAACGTTACTGTTTGTAGTCCTGTTAGGGCTGGCAGAAATATAGCATTGCAGTATCATTCTTTATTTACTTACATGGAGGAGAATGTGGTTTTAAAGCAATACTGTAAAATGATAGTGGCTTATTACAGTATGCAGTGTTACACAGTCACTTGTATAAGGAGCAAACACAAGTATTTGACCAGTGAAGTATGCAAATGTTTCTCCCTACTTGAAAAGGGCATACCTTTTTCTTTGATAGATGACAAGGGGCAAAGGGGGAGGAATTAGGAGCATCAGTAGGAACACACTTGCTTACAGAAATTTGCTCAGAAGATAAGCTGCGGCACTGAGGTATGTAAGAAAAGCTTTCCCTTTCTGAGATCAATTCCTTGGGCAACTGTTCCTTCTTAAACAGCACAGTGCTGAAGTTGGCCACATGTGTGCTCTGGCTAGGATCTAGCATTTCTTCCCATTTATTAAAACCTTTATCCGGTGCTTCTCTATGCCTACTCGTAATGTTCTGAGAAAGTAACATCTCTGCATGAAATAGTTGGCACAGGCTCTATGCACTAGCCCAAGGGATAATACTTCCAGTAGTTTTGCGAAGAAAGCCCCATTCTCAACTGTCTTCACAAACAGCAAAAAAAAAAACCTTTCTGAAATAGGACCCAGTAACTCTATCTCCTCAAAAATGCTGAGTAACCTGTGTTGTGTGGCTAGGGAACAGAAGTGCTACAGGTTTCCAGAACTTAGGCAGTAGGGGGTCATTTTTATGCCATTTAAGGTACTGTTTGCTTCTCTGTTTTTTGTTTTAATAAAAACAATCTTCATACAAAAAATCTCTTCATTGCCTGAAGCATGATTTATATCCATATTCTATGTAGATTATGGCACTATCAGCTACATGCTCTAGTTTAATCAATGCTGTGTCATATTTTCTTATGATCTCTCAGCTTTTCTGAGCTTTATACTGAATAAAACTGAGGAATCGAACAGCATGGGGAAGGGGAGGAATGATCACGTTAGAATGCCTTTAAATTTACTCCCCCAAGCTCTCGTATTTTTGATTGCTGTTGTAAGGCTCCCTCTTTATACAAGGCTTATGCATGCAGCAGAAAATGCATTAAGCATTTATTGCATAGTATTAGCTAAACTGTAGAGTTTTCTGGGGGTTACGCTACCTTATCTGTAAAACTGGAATTGGACAAAAAAAAAAAACCTCACAAACCACACTCGCTTCTACAGCACGCTTCTACAGTATTCTTACCCCAAACAAAGAATTATCTAAAATAGAATAAGGATGAAAAATATAATATAAAATGTTGTAAAAATCTGCAGGTTGGGATAATCATTTTACAGGCTGTTATTCCTTTTCATAAAGGCAAATGTTATTCTCTTTATAGGCATATATAAGGCCAATTATACAGCCAATACAGGAGATATACAGCCAATTAGTGTCAACTAGAAGATGCATTTTTGCTTTCTCTAGTGCCTTTTGTTTGTTTGGTGTCTATACGTACCAACAGCAGCAACAGATGCCAACATTAGTTGCAGCAGCTCCTATCTCTGCGCCAGGCCCCCTGCCATTTTGAATAAACTTGCACAACAAGAGGTAGAGCACCAGTATGGAACTCCCTAAATGAGACACCTCAGTAGGCATCCAATATACTTTCCATTAGAATGAGAAACTGTGAATGTAAGTGCTGAATATTGTATCAGTTCAGGATCTGTGGCTTCTTACATTTTTATCCTTATAGATAGTAGTTGTCCCCGTAGTCTATTTTATATAGTCCTGGTCAGATTTCAAACAGCTTGCCTACACTACTGTCACAAGAGTACATTTCCTAAATACATTTTTAATTTCAGTTCAGGTATGAAAATTGAATGTTAAAAAAAAACAGTTATTTTCCCAGTCACCTTTATTTCATTAGAAAAGTATAAATTACCATCATAAATACAGATATCACCAGTATAAAAACTAGATTCTTTTATAAAATAAATATTAAAATAGTCATAGCAAAACGTACCTCCAAGTCCCATCACCAAGATTGTTTGAACCTCTACCAACAGAAACTATTAGTTCACCAACTGTTTAATTAAAAATCAGTGTTCAAGCTGCAGTAAATACTGCTACCTATTCAGTGTTCGCATGAAGTGAGTTACTACTGACTCAGAAACTGCAAAATATTTATCCCGACGCTCACTTGGAATTATCAGATTATCCTATTTGTATTAGTCCAGGTTTAGTGTAATCTGGATATGCCTTTTCCAGATGGATAGCAGCTACGTACTTCAAGAGCATTCCATAGAGGTTACCAATACAGTGATTTCAGTTTGTTTAGCTTTGATTGCCTCTATCCAAAGATAAATACACCAAGCCAATTTTATCTAAGAAGTGCAAAAAGAGTAGTAGCATCTTTCTCAAATCTGAACTAAGAGATCATTTCTTCAGGTAATAAGGTTATAAAAAGACAGATAAATACAGATTTCGTTTCATAGAAACAGAAAAACGTTCCTTTTTGTTAGGTAAAGGACACAAGCGTTTAGAAAATGTAGTGTTTTTTCCCCTCACAAGTATCATAAGTTTTCTGGCTCATTAAGGCCATAGTTTCAGAATGGCCATACCTTGTCATATCAAAGGTCCGTCTAGTTTAGGATCCTGTGTCAGACAGGAAAATAGAGGTTGCTTTGGGAAGACTATATGAACAGGGTAAACATATTGTAATATCTTCCCAGAACACCCTTCCAGCTATTAGTGGCACAGGGGCTTCCTGATATCTTTGTGCCTAAAATGTATTTTTCATCTGTGACTGTCTAATGAAGCTTTGCATTCACAGAAATTCTGGAAGTTTTGGCTTCACAATCTCCTGCAGCAGAACGCTTAAATGGCTCCACCCAGTTAACTCCTTTTTTTTTGCTTTGGAACTGCCAGTAGTATCCACGATCGTTATTCCTTAAACACCATTAAGCGGTTCCTTTTCTCTAGCAGCTTTTGTTTTCTTGCATTTGCACAGGATCACTGATAGGACAACGGCAATGGTGATGACTGCAATTGCTATCACTGCTATGATAATGAAGACTTCAGCTCCATATTCTGTAAGGGAAGAAAAGAATCCAAGACTTGGTAATCAGAAGACATAGTGGTTTTTCCTTAAAGTTGTGTTTGTCTGGGTCCCCACGTTGAGGTGTTGAACACCTCTCATTTAGTGCCACAATCCCTTAGAACCCATTCCACTGAACTCAGAAATGCTTTCTGTATTTTACAGTACCACAGGAGTGTTCACCTCAGCGTGAACACAACTCACTTGTTAAACTGTAGTAAACCATGATTTCAACTAGTTCACACTAGGTTTTAATCTAGTATGGTTAGTCCACTAAAACACCAGGCTATCACCACAGCAGTAAGTCCAATCATTCCCCCTGCTACCACATCAGCTCTGGAATTAGGCCTAAGTAGTAATTTGTTCTAGGTTAGAAGTTGGAAAAGACCAGCCAAAGGAGTTTTTATTCAAACTGTAGTCAACTAGAATTCAACTATTGTAATAAACAAAAAATATATATTTAGATAAGAGCATTCATTTGAGAGAGGGAGAAACAATTTTGGAAGAGTTTTTCACTTACAGTGAAAATATTCCTTCCTGGTGGAGAAAGAAGATACAATACAGAAATGTATTATTTTAATTAACACTTTTGACTTAATATTGAAGAAAGTGTTGTAACACTTTGAACAAAAGTTGTTTGTCTTGAATTGGACTGGCTGGTTCACTGACCGCCCACTAACTTGTTTACAAGTCAGGGGGCCAATCTGAGCTTGTAATGTAACGGTAAAGAAAGTCTGAGTCTCCTCACCTGCTTTTGAGATAATAACTAAACTGTGAGCGAAAAAAAGTGAGAGTTTCCCTAGTTCAGTTTACACTACAAGTCAGTGGAAATGCCTGTTGCATAGTTTTCCAGCACTCCTATATTTTACAGCTGGTGCTTCAAGCACTTACCCTAGGGCCCTTTATTGGAAGGATCTGAAGAAAACAATGAGAAAACAAAAAAATAAGCTGAAGGCCAGTGATTAAATCTGGAACCTCTGTGATCAGTCATTAATTCAGCCAATTTAAAACTAAATCAAAATAGTTTTAACAAAACCTTAAGAACAACTCCAAGTAGCTAAGGATGGTGACTCTTACTTAATGGGAGTTCTTAGCATTAGTTTTCATCTCCAGTCTCTGTTCTCTCATTTAAACAGCAAATAGTTTTGTTTTATAAATTAGGCACCAGACCTAGAAGACGTATACAAATATACTCATAATTGAAGTGTCTTTTTGTTAGAATGCTGAAGATGTTGTGACAGACTTCATCAGATACATACCATCTAAAATATTTCTTCCTATGCTGGTACAAAGCACCCTGCTTTCCTGACCATCACGGTTTTCTCTGCGAGAGGGAATGATTCCCTGTATGTGGAAGCAATAGTTTTTTGTGCTGTCAACATTTATTTCAAATGTAAGGCTTTTTGTTGTTACATATTTCTGTAAAAGAAAAAAGAATATTTCAAGATAATGTTCTCTGCAAAAGCTTTAGCTGTTAAGGAAGCACAGAAGCTGCATAGCTATAGTATAGCTACAGAATATGTGAAAAGTAGAGCAAGAGCTTACCTTTCCAGAACTTTGGTCTTTCCAGTAATAGAGTTTATATTCCAGGTCATGTTTGAAAATATCTCGAATACTTTTAAAGCTTCCATTGGAAAATGTATATGGTGTAAGTGGATCTTTGAACACAATGTTCAATTTGGAATCTTTTTGTGTATAATTCTGGATCTCTGGTTTTCCAAGAATAGCTAGAAAAGGATTTTTAAAAATTAAAAAACTGGCATCATCTTTTCTATACAATATATTTTTTTCTCTTCTTCCCTCCACTCCCCTTCCCTCCTCTATTATAAGTTTGCAGAGTCAAAGTAGTACAGTGAAATGAAAGATTATTAACAAATATTTTTATCTAGACGTGAGAGGACAAATGATGCAGTCCCCTGCAATGCAGTCCCCTGCAATGGGAAAAGTGTCATGCTTGTAGATCTTATTCTTAGATACTAGTAGTGCTACTATAAGAACCTATAGAAAAAATCTTCAGGCCCAATCCAAACCTTGTTTAAATCAATGAAAATCTTCTTGAGATAAAGCTTATGATAAAATTAAATTGGCAATCCTACTTACTCTGATTATAAGGAGTGAATTTTTCAGAGACTGCAAAAGGTGGTTCTTCAAAGTTATCCATCCTCGAGGATGTTACAGACAGTATATGTGCTGTATAGGTCTCTCTTACATTCCTGAGCACATCAGTAACATCACACTCTGTTTCTGCTGTCAGAATACATTTTTTTTGTGTATTAGATGTCTGTCTGAAAAGAGTAAGAAGTGTCAACACTTTCTAAGCAGATTTAAAAAAAACTATTCATATACGTTAAAATACTATTCCCCCTCCTCAAAGTATACAGATTTCCCTCACTCAGTGCAACATTCTTATAGGTGTACTAGTCTGAAATAGATAAGGTAAAAACCCCAAAACACTATCCTGTAACAAGTATATTTCAAGTTTAAATTGGAAGCAAGTGAATCAAATATGAGTCACACTATGCATTATATAAAGAAGACGTTATTGGAGACATGTATGAATTAAAAATGATAGAAAGCCATCAGTAGTTTGGATTTTGGCTTTGGCTTTTTCTGAAGTTGACTTACAATAAAAATATAAGGGAACTTAGATACATAAATCACTTTGACAGTTTTATCCTTGATCAATGATGCATACGAAAACTATTGCCTAAAGAAACATCAGTTATCCTAGGTAGCTCTGCTCACATGAATGTTAATTGTTTAATCTAATGACAACGACTCCTCATATTTCACTTGTATTCGTATCTGTGTAGATATAAATGTTACTGAGAATAAAAAGCAATACAAAAAATAAAAAACGTGACTCATGGACTTCTCTTGATTTTTAAATGATAAAGGGCAGGGTCATTTACTTGAGAAATAATAACTACACTTGGAAAAAAAATGTTAGCACCCCACTTTGCTTCCTAATAAATGGAAATAGAAAAGTAGATCTGATATTACTGCTTCAGTTCTTTTCCCAGTCTTTGCTGGTGAACTAAGAACAAAAAAAGATTTAGTGAACTCAGATGAAAGATCAAGAGTGTTGAGTGTTTGGAAGTTAACAAACAAATTTTCCTCAAAGTAGGTTAAGGTCTGGCAAGCAAGAGTTTTATTCAAGAGTTGCCTGAACTCCCTTCCTGCTTCACCAGATTTCATATGATGTAACAAATCTGTGAGTTTCAGTGGTCTGCGGATGCTTTGAGAAGGGACAGAAGAGATTTGATGTTTATAACAAAACAAACATACTCTTTTAAATGTACATATATATCAGAAAGCACAAATTGAAATGTACTTAAGACAATCCTGTCTAAAGAAGTTCCTCAGTATCAGAACTGTACCTGATTCTATACTGAATTTTGGGCAAACAGGCTTCATTTTTTTGCAAGCACAAACAGCAGGAAAGAAACTCCAGGTTCACAAGCAGTTCACTTGGCAGACTGCTGGATAAGGTTCTGTGCCCATGAGAAACCTTTTTGTAGGATCAAGCTCCTAAGCTATGTTGTGCCATTCTGCTCAAGCATGTGCTTTAAAGTCTATTCATTTAATCACTCTTTTCAGAATAAAGGGTAAAAGAGGGCATTGGACCGTTGCACATTCATTTATTAGTCATGAGAGAACTCTCATTTGTAGACAACTTTTATAGACAAAAGTGGCTACAGTACCATGTTTTCATTACTGTGTAGGAGAGTTGATGCAGTTTCTCTTCAGGGCATGTTTAATAATGGTCTGTGAATTAATAGGTGAGCTAAGTACCGCACAGATTTATTACTGAACTTCACTGAAGTTTTAAAAGAAATGTTAGACACTTCATATAGGCTGGCTGTTTTTTATGGTCTGCAGTATTTTATAACCTCTATAATCATGACAACAGACAATGCTTTGATAGAGCTAGACAAACAAAGGTCATTTTTAGTATTACCCAGCATTTCATTGATGGTGATTCACTGATTAGTATAAAATTCAGACTCATTTATCAGACACCTCCCAAGATTAAAGAAAGAACAAAGACCCCATCCAGACAGCTTGAAAGACATAAAAAGGTGACGTTCTATCAAGTATATGTTGCATGGTCTAAAGTCAACTGCCTCAATGTACCCTGGCCCAGATCTCCTGCCCAGTTGGCCTGCACCGAACCCCAGAACTGAAATACTGATCTAAAGCTGAACTACCCATTTCTGAAGTGGATGAAACCAGAATCATGAATCAGATATTCCTACAGTTGGGTATGAAGAAGGTATAACTATTGGGTAGGCAGTTTTCCCAAAATCCTCATTTTTGGGCTATTTTCCTGTTATGCTCACTCTCAAAAATATTCAGACACTCACTATCTGCATCTTCTTCAATTGTCATTAACGTACACAACTTTGATGTTATCTACTTACCCATGTATTTCTACTGTGTAGGAATAATTAGATGGTTTTGGTTGCCACCGTAGTATTGTTTTAAAGTTGATCGAAGACCAAGTTATATTAACTGCTGTTGGTAGATCTTTACTGCCTTTAAATATAGAAAAGAGCACCATTAGTCACACTATATGCAACTCCCGGCCCCCTGCATTTGCCGTTCACTTAAAAGAAGCTGTTGTTGCTAATTGCTGCTTGAAGGTCTTGGGGAAAAGGGTTGGTCCTGCCCTCCGGGCTCATGCTTGTCTTACTAAATCCTGGCAAAAGTGAGAAATATGAAACATGAGTGGAGTTCTGCCTAATGCTTCTTTCTACTTTTTGATACAAGACCTTTTAAGATGCTACAAAAGCTTGAAGATATTCATGGGAATGTCAAAGCACTAAAACAAATGGAGTATAGTTCAAATTCATTCCTACTTGTAGAAACCATTAACTGCTAGTTTCCCTATTTATTTTAGGAAGATAAATTCTTAAAAAACCCAGTAGTTGCCCTACACGCTTATATCTGAGAAGGGCTACCACAGAATTTAGTTGTAGCCTGGGCAAAGGGGAAGAAAGGCAGAGGCACCCTGCACGCCCGCAGCGGTGGCTCTGGCGACACGCGCTCTGGGAACTGCGAGGGAAGAACCACAGGGGAAAACCCCACACCGCAGGGAAGGGCCACAGCGTCTGCGGCCTCTGAACATTAAGGATTTCCCTTGGTGATATCCTAATTATTTTCTAAATACAGCCTTCTCTGCTCCTTCTACAAGCTGGAAACTGGAGACAAAAGAAATGGAGCAATTTACTCCCTATTACTGGTGTTCAGCAACCGACCTATGAAATGCCCCTTCTTTGCCCCCAACGCCTCCCCAGCTATGAAAATAAAGGAGCCTCTTCAGGAAAAAAAAAAAAAGAAGAAGAAGAAA